CAACGTACGACAAAATGACAAATATTTATTAGTTGGTCCCTTTTCGCACCGACACTTCATATATCTCCATGATGTTTCTCTGAGCTGTTTTCTCCTTGTTTGCTCTCTAAACGATTTTCTTTTATGTATACCATCTTAAAGATGACATACAATTAAGCCTAAGGAAAATCCCCGAACAGTCATGTTGACGCTCGGATGTGCTCAGAGACAGCCATGTCTCCGTCTCCTCCTTACATGTGCACGAGCGTCTACTCTCTGCATTATGGGTGGTCGGCAGCAGCTCCTTAGCAACGCTATGCTCTTCCTACACGCACACGGGCTCCGCGCTCCGCGTTATGGTTAACAGGCTAGCTAGGGCTAGAGACTCAACTACACACTAACTGGTCGGACGGTTTATATTAAATATACATGCATCTTCAAAATAACACTATTTGTTCACACCAACTGATCGCCGAGCTGCATACGCTATTTCATCACCATTGCTGATTCTTCTCCGGAGTTCATATATTTTATTTTTACATCATATACTACCTATTCTACACATTTGTTTCGCAGGGGCATGGCTCGGTCAACGAGCTTACGCTTAGGGACTGGACACGATGATCATCGTCTGGGTGGTCAGACCACCTATCAGACGGACTTCACCACCGACCAACTGGTCGGACTGCTCGACACTCACTCCTAATCGGCGTTCACTTCGCCGCTGACCAGTTGGTTGGTCTGCACATCGCATGGGCTTCATCGTCAGCTACGCTAGGGGCTCGCCAGCTACGCTGGGGACTCCTCAGTGCTCTGATTCGTCGTGCAAGCATCTCTAGCTAAGCTGGGGACTCCCTTGGTGGTCGAACCACCTATCAGATGGACTTCACCATCAACCAACTGGTCAGACTGCTCGGCACTCACTCCTGCTCGGCGTTCACTTCGTTGTCGACTAGTTGGTTGGACTGCTCATCGCATGGGCTTCATCGTCAGCTACGCTGGGGACTCCTCGATGCTCAGATTCTTCGTACAAGCGTCGCCAGCTAAGCTAGGGACTCCCTTGGTGATCGGATCTTGCTACATCTTATCGGTGTGCTATCAAGCTGCTCCATGTTGTTTGGATTTGAAATGTCAACGGGGAATTCCCCGTCGGGGGCTACTGCCCCATCCCCGTCCCTGTGGGGGCAAATTCCCCCATCCCCGGTCCCGTGAAGGCTCGTGGGGAGCACTTCTTCCCCATCCTCATCCCCGCTCGGGGATTTAATCCCCATGGGAGTCCGCATCCCTTCTTATCGACAACGTTGACGACCACTTCGCCGTCCCTGGACCCCCACTCGTCCCCACGGCAAGTGATCGTGACCTCGTGCTTGGTGCCGTCGTTGTGGAACCTACAGTGCGTCGTGTGGACTAGCTGTGCCTACGCGGCGGCGAACGGAGGAGCAGCAGGAGGGCAGGAGGAAAAGGGCCCACAGACCTGCTCTCAGCGGCTGAGCAGCGCGCGGCGCGGTGCGGGTGTGAAGCGGCGTCGGACGTGGGGGAGAGGGAGAGGCGCTGCTGTGGGGGAGAGGGAAAGGCACTGCTAGGGCTTGCCTGCGACGCTGTCGTGGGGTCATCGGTGTTGGGTCGGTCGGTGGCTTTGGGCGGGGGCGACACGGTGATGGTAGGTCGGTGGAGCCAGATCCGTCGCCGTCGATGTCGGTGGTGGCCGGATCCATCTCCACCGCTCCTCTGACTGGCCGCCGCCGCCGCTGTGGGTGAAGGGCACCACGCCCTGCATGATAGTTGTGGTTGAGAGGTAGAGGGAGGGATGCTCGGCTTTGGGAGCGATAAGCGACTGCTGCAGCTGGGAGCGGGAGGAGATTGCGGCGGCTGTGGCTAGAGGCGAGCGTGCCAGAGCGAGAGCGAGAGAGCGGCGGTTGCGGCTGTGGCTGGAGGATGGGAGTGAGTGACCGGATGGGGATTGAGGAATTAGGGTTGGATGGTGCGTTATATACCTTCGCGACTTATTGGGCCATTACATGGGCTGGCACCTGGGCTACCTGCTGCGTGCTTCGCGATGCGGGTTGGTGGGGATCGGGGTCGGGGACCAGGCAATCATCCCTGTCCCCGCCATCCCCAACGGGGACCGCCTTCCTACCAAATCCTTCCCCATGGGGATTAATTCTCCTCCATCCCCGTCTCCTAATGGAAGAATTCACCGTGGGAAATCGGGGATCGGGTCCCCGTTGACATCTTTAGTTCGGATCAGGGTGCTGATCTTGGGCAGCAAGTCTGGGGTCTTGATACGCGCATGTCAGATGATGTCGGCAAGCTTTTAGACTTCTTTTCGTTGACCCTGCTACAAGATTCATTCTTCATCTTCCAGCAGGCTCAGGGTCTAAGTGGCTACACTTCACCGGGTGGTGAATGTAGTGCTTATTTCTTGATTTACCCTCCTTATTGACGGAGTCTAAGTGGCTACACTTTTTCTAAGTGGAAGAATTTTCAAATTATATCTTGAGCCCCTTACATTCTTCTGGCAAGCCTTATTTGGCTAAGTCCGATGTCTTCTAACCAGTTAAACTGGTCGGCATTGACTTTCACCACCCAGGTCACCAATTAAACTGGTCGGTTTCGACTTTCACCGCCCAGGTCACCAGTTAAACTAGTCAATTTTGACTTTCACTGCTCAGGTCACTAGTTAAACTGGTCGGCTTCGACTTTCACTGCTTGGATCACCGGTTAAACTGATCGGCTTCACGTCAAAGTGCTCGGACTTGTTCAAGACAACGTTGCTCAAAGAATACAAGGCGCTCGAGGACTAGCTGTGGAGGATATAACCCTAGGTACCCACAAAAAGGGACATGGGCCACACCATCAGAGGTGGTCCAGCCCACAAGATCAAGGCTTACGGTGCACGACACTGCTCGACGTACACCGCAAGACTACAAGAAGATATTGTATAATACCAAATATGATACTTTTCTTGTAACCCTACCCCTCCAGAGCGTATAAGGAGGGGCAGAGGTCCCCTAGTGGACATCCCCATACAGATCCTAGGCTTAGCCTAAAGCATCTGATGACACGCGGCATCATACGAAGCCAATACAACCCAACAGACCATAGGAGTAGGGCATTACGTCGCGCTGACGGTCCGAACCTGTCTAACTCTTGTGTTTTCTGTTGCCTTCTTGTTCTTGATTACACGCATCTCTGCCGATCAATCTACCTTCGTGGGATACCCCTCGAAGGACTGCTGACGATATTCTATCGACACCAATTGAATAGGATCTGGAAGAAATGAAGGAACATCTAGAAGAAATGAAGGACCACTAATATTAGTCACTTATTGTTATCAAAAATATTTTTAAGTCTAATATGCATTGTCAAAAACTTTGACAGAGTTTTGACACAACGTCCTTGCATCGAGGGCATACAGAACTTATCAAGTATCTGTGAAAATGATTACACCCATTCCAGTACTATGGAATGTAAACACAGAACATAGATGAAGACAGGAATGACATGACTACCTATGTGTGATCATTCCTATGTTTAGATTAAAAAAAGGTGCAGCACAGCCAAGATTATAGAGCATTTTAAAACCGGCCTAGCTTTGCTTCTCCCAACATAAGTATCTCATAACTGCATATAAGTTAACAAGAGAGACATCATTTTCTTTTAACAGGAGAGACATCACTTTATATTCACCTGTAGGATCTTATTTTTCGTACATGTAAAGAGCATGTTATAATCGCTCTACTCAACTTGGTACATTAATCGCTCACAGAAATACAGACTGGCTAAAAAAGGGAGAATATAATCATCATAGCGGAGCCAATATGAAGGGTCATTCGGTGGCAAATGAAACTGAACTGTCAATGGTAACCCAGGATCGAAAATTTTCAGTGTGGATTGTACATGGCAGGACAAATTTTCAGTGTGAACCTTCAAAAAAAATTCAGTGTGAAAAATTTCAGTGTGGATCCAATATAAATCTGTCAGGACAGAAATTGTATTTAGCAGTTATATTTTTTTATTGGCAATGTAGAAACTGAGAAATGATGTCATATCAATGGGCAATGTATACATGCCAATAGTAACTTAGTAGTTTATTAGCTAATGCAGAATGAACATGGCAGCAATAATCTAGTTTGGCCATTTGGACAAAAGTAGAATGACACAACTATATTATTTGCATAAATCATGCAGAGATAAGCCGCCGCAACCATTCACACACTAAATAAGCTGAACATGTGATATATATAAGCCGGAAAATAACCATCAACAAATAGATACAAACTCTGTATATAGTGATTAAAGTTCCATCAACCAGATATGTAATGAACAAAATCAGTGATGAGAAAAGGATACACCTTTCATTTTCAGGCTCTTTAGCACACTGATGGAAAATTCCCTACTTTTGACCACCTTTTGAAGAAGAGATTCATGCTTTCTTTAGCTACAAACACCAAACGGAAGAGATGGAGCAATCACTTAATTTTAAAACAGTAACAGAAATGTTGCAAGTTCCTTCGAAAATTTATCCTCTCCATGTATTATTCAGCAACCCAGACAACAAAGTAGAAGAGCATCTAATAGAAACCCATACATCTCATTCTGAAAAAGTTTGAGAAGCTTGCACCTTATTTATGTTGAATTTGGTTGGTCTGCAGCATGATGGCCAGCCCCCATAGTTGTACGTGTCCAAAGACCAGTAGTATAGTACTTAGATGCAACTGTCTTGGCCTATCCATGTACTCAGATTATTTCATCATAATGACATGCATATCCTGGAGTAATGGATTCTCATCTCTCAGGGCCTCCATAATAATATTCTAAGTTTGTCCCAGTAGCATAAATCAGTGCCTCCCAGTGTTCTTCTCGACAGAATTTATCACCCTCAAACAAAAAATCGGTGCCTCCGAATGTTCTTCTCCATAAGGCAAGCATCTCCACTTAAGTTAGCCAACCCAAATCAGTTAAAGTTTGTCGGCCTGATCTTAAACTTGACAACGCATAGCGTTGCAAAGACGGGCAGCTCAAGCGACGCTCGTCTCATCCATGAGCATCTCCACAATAAGATGCCATCTCCAAACTAAGATGCCGTTCATCTCGTCGGCGATGGGGTACTTATTGTCCTCGGCGAGCACCAAGGCTTCCTGGACATATCCCAAATTCTTAGCCACAACAAAGAAAAAAAATTATCATGGGTGCTGCAATTTTCTCAATTGTGAATTAGCAGCATATACCTCTGCAACAAACCAACCCTCTCCTTCGCTGCCGCAGCAACAACGGCTCGTCGCCGCCCATCCCCACAGGAGCAGCGCGCTGAGAAGGCGAGGACGCGGCTGCGAAGCTCCTCGGTTGCCCTCCAGACTTGGGCAGCGCAGTCCTGCCAGTCGCATCTGACCCCGCTGCAGCCATGACCCTGCGGGGCCTGAGCCGGAGCAGCACCTCCGCCATGACCTCCCTGGGCACGGGGTCCCCGCCTCATCGAAGGAGAGGGCACGGCGGAGCCAGTGCTCCCTGTGGCCCCCAGCCCCCGGCTAGGTCGCCCGCGCGGCCGTCGCCGAGGCCGACCGCACCATCGCCATCGATCCCCGTGACTCCGCCTCGCTCATCCTCAAGGCTCTCGACCTCGACCTCGACCTCGACCTCGAGGGCCACCGCCTTCCCCGACGCGCGAGGGCGAGGGCGACGTTGGTAGAAGGCCAAATCCACCGCCTGAGGAGTGCGACCGATCAGGCGAAGGCGAAGTGGGATCGTAGGAAGGCAAAATACGTTGGCGAAGTGGGATCGTAGGAAGGCAGAATTCGTTGCGGTGATTGCGTTGGCTTTCTGTTTTTACCTCCGTTGACCGAGCAAGCGTGAGCCATCGCACGCCAAGCAGGCCAAGGTAGCGCTCGCGGTATCGTACGGAGAGAGATAGATTAAAACAAATATCGCACTAAAAAGTATCTTTAGTTGTACGTAGGCGATTCGCTTGGCAGAGAACCAGCCGCAGACACGCTTCCAGGACTCCAGATTCTGGCTGCGAAGGAAAATGCGGCCCAGGAAAAATGTGCACGCCACGCCAGGGCCAGGTTGTGGGCTTCGTGAGTGCATGTCCATTTTGGGGCTTTAGGCGGCTGAGCTTTCAGGTCCACCTTTAGAGGCCTGGCCCAAGACAGGTCAAAGAATCCTTCGTGGCCAAGGAAACGAGGCAGAAGCCGCGTCCGACTCGTTCACGCGTTCGCGGTTCGCCTCTTTGTCTCGTATATATAAAAGTCCGCGGCCCCCGTCGCCTCAGCAAAATTCCCCAATCACGCCGCCAGCCTCCGCACGCGCCTCGGAACCCTAGGTCCGGCGACGCCTTCAGATCCGGCGCCCTTACCCGGCGGATTCGCCAGCTCCTACCCCCGGTCGCCGCGTTCCGGCATCTCGGCTGCCCGGCGTCCGCTACCCGTCTTCGATACCTGCGATCTGCGATCTTCCCCAGGCCGTCCCGAGGAATCGCTTGGTCGACAGGCTACGTCTCCACCAAGCCCGCATCGACGACGCGAAGGATCCGTGCCGTCGTCGATCGCCGATCGCCTCTTCGTAGATCGAATTTGTTCAGTGATTCTTCTCGTTGCAATTCGTTGTATTTCATCTGAGATCTGGGAAAAAAATTCGGGCCATCTCGTGATAGAGAGGCCTTTATTCGTGAAAAAAGAGACAGTACTCGCCATCCATCATGGGTGTTGTGTATTATCAATATAAGAGTGAAAAGGAAATCTGTTCTATGCCTGTGCCCCATGCTTTTATCTCTGTGTCTGAACTCAAGCAGCTTATCATGACGAGCGGTAAGCACGGCCGTGGGCGAACCCGCGGCCGTGCCACAGAGGATATTGTCATCTCCAACGCCCACACTGGCGAAGGTTCGTTTAACGCCAAATAGCTTAACTGTACTCGATTACTTTCTGTATATACAGCCGAGCATATGATTCTGTCAAACTTCATCGTAGTTGCCTTTACTTTGAAGCACAACCGATTTTGTAGCCTAATAAAATTATGCGCAATTGACCTTTGATCATCGCAATTTTTGGGAAAATCAGTTAGGCTTTGCTGAGATGTCTGGATTCATGCAGCCTGCAAGACATGGCATAGTTTAGATAACATCAATCTGGTCGGGATCAGGACACCTGAACTTTGTTTTAGTGTTCAGTTGTGCATGCGAATTGCTTAGTTGTAGCTCTGAACAAAAAGCGACTTGCATAGGTTTTATCGATTGTCTTAGTTTTGGTTCCAATGATTTTGCATGGGTCATTTCAATCTGGATTCCTCACTCAGTTTGGCTTTGCATATGGTTTTATCGATTGTCCTAGTTTTGATGCCAATGATTTTGCATGTTTTATTTCAATCTGGATTCCTTACTCAGTTTGGCTATTTCTGTGTTAGTGCAAGTTGATGATTCTCTAACAATTTCAGCTCTCAGAGATTTTGTGATACTTTTGCTTTGTACATCAATACGAATAGGTATTCCGTTAAGTACAATGGTCACTGTTTACTCGTGTTTCCATTGCTTTGTTGATAAAAATAAGAGAACTGTAATGCGTGTACATTGTAATTGTGTATGGTCTCCTATCATTTTGTATGCCCATGGGATGTGTTACTAGCTCCTGAAGGAGTTCAGCCAAGCTGTATACTGGATGAATGATGATCCATATGTATCTGCGCATCCTATTGGAAATACACCTTGGCATACTGATGTAAAGCTTATATTTGTAAATTGTGAAGTGTAGAATTTCTATTTTTCCCTTTCTTTTTCCCAGTATGTTCATGAATCCAGGACATCTCAATGGCTCTCTGAGAAATCTCAATTGTTAACCTAAAGGATAAAAGTCAATCTGTCATATTATAAATCAATTTAAACATCTCAATTTCGATGTTCAATTATATTAAATGCATCATTTGGTATATATGAGAAGAGTTATCTTATAGCTTGCCAGAATATGTTTGTTTTAGTGGACTATTAGTTGACATTTCTGTTTTCTGTGTTTGTGTTTGAATTCAGAATATGCAGATGAAAGAGCATCCGTACCACAGAACACAACTGTGCTGGTCTGCAGAATTTCCATTCCTGGGCAACTGTCAGAGAAGATCGTCTTGTCCCCCACGTAATGTCCCCTCTTCAATCTTTTCTTCGCAATATCATTCGCTGTTTGGAAAGAGAGGCTAGGAGACAAACATTTTATAAATCATAGACCAATTCATGTGGAACCTGAATCAACTGGAAGTAACATTAATATATTTTTCTTAGACAATGTGTGCCTACAGGGCTACAGTCTGAACAATTTGACTTCACAATGAAACCCAACAGAATAATTCTCTCTATTTCCCTACTGTTGTTTTTTGTTTATTAAACTGCTCCCAGTAAAAGCTGATTGTTTTCTTTGAGTCCTCTGTCCAAACACAGCTCAATTGTGGTGTCATACTACAAGGTCTATAGCTGAAGCATCATCAATTAAATCTGTTTCAACTGAGAACAAGCAGGGCAGAAAATGAGGACTAAGCGTACTAACTTCATGTAACTAATTGCAGGCGGAAAGTCACAGAAGAATGTTCTGTACCTTGTAAGTCAGTCGTTACTGACTCAAGCTCAAAGTCATGTTCCTCCACAGTAGTGCAAGATGAAGATGCTGCAATTGCAGCAGTGATTGATGCTGCTGAACTCAAATTGTAAGCATATCACTTTCTCTCTCTTTTCACAAAATGGTAGTAGTTTTTCACTTTTTCTTGTTGCCTTCACTCTGATAATCTTGTTCCATGGTGCATGTAGGGAACAGCACCCGTCTAAAAGAGGACAAGGCAGTGGAAGGTTTACATCAGGACGTAACTATGGGCCATTGGAAGGGGAGACACCTCCACCAGGATATGTCTGCCGCTCTTGCGGTGTTCCAGGCCATTTCATTCAACACTGCTCACAGGAAAACAAGACGCCTCCACCTGGATACATTTGCTACAGATGCCGAATTCCAGGGCATTTTATTCACCATTGCCCAACCATTGGCGATCCCAAGTTCGACAATAATAATATGAGTCGGTCTCTTGTCCCAGTAGTAACTGTCAGTCCTGTCGATGGCATTTTGGATTCACTTGTCCCGGCTGCCCCAGTTAGTGCTGTTGATGACTTGCCAGCAGAGCTCCACTGCCGACTATGTAAAAAAGTGATGAGAGATGCAGTATTGACAAGCAAGTGCTGTTTTGACAGTTTTTGTGATAGATGTAAGTGGTTTTCATATACTCCATTTGTATGTATCTTCAAAGTCTTTGTTTTGGTGTCAATGAGTGCATTATCCAAAAGTATCCAAGATGTTTTACACCAAATTTGTTTTTATAGCAGTATCTAGCTGTTTCTGTGTCAAGTAATTATCATTCGAATAATATAAGAACAATATAAGGAACGAGTTTCTATTTACCTTTTGTCAGGCATTCGGGATTATATTATTACAGAGTCGAAGTGCATTTGTGGAGTCAAGACACTAGCAGATGACCTCATTCCCAATCACACACTTCGGGGCACAATCAGCAATATGTTGGGAACACAGACTAGCAGCGGTGGAAGTGGTACAACAAGGCATAGAAGTTCGTCAGGCAGCAACCCTGACCCCAAAATACTGAGCCACACTGCTTCTGCGGCCTCAGCAAGGGAGGTGAAGCAACCTACAGACCACCAGCTACCAGCAGCATCTGCACCTGATGATGCGCTCCATGTTGCCACAGAAGGTGCTCTAGTGAACCAGCCTCTAGATAAATTGGCAGCCACTGCCAAAATCCTTAGCAAAGATGAAGGCAATTCTGCAGAAGTGTCAGCAGAGAAGGCTGTAGCAAATGCTGAAGCCCCCAAAGTAAAGGATGGAAGTGAATCGACTTCAAAGGCCACCACTGTTTCAGGGGCCCTGAAACACGATGTCACAAGGACAGATCAACCGAAGAAGAAGCGGAAGAAGGCAGACTTAACTAAGAGTGTTCAACCTAACAATGTTGGCTATGGTTACAATGTTCCATTTGACCCTGCATATTACAATCCCTTCATCAATGGATATCCTTGGGCAACTGAACCTTACATGTATAGCTCAATGGGGATGCCGTACACTGGTTATCCAATGGATCCATATTGTGTGAATACCTTCACTGGCATGCCACCGCAGGTTTTTGCAATGCAAGGCTATCCAGCAAGCTACCAAAGGTATGTATTGTCCTATCATCCTTGGTTTAGTGTGTTCTTTTTCTTTAACTGAATTATACTCAGCTTCCAGTTATTCAGAGCTTCACTTGCTATTTGTGACGCTAACAGTCCATATTGCTGATTTCTTCAGGCCTGAAATTGAGCCCATGCATCGTGGGGGCACTGCAGCTACTAGGGCACTTTCAAAGCACCCTGAGAGGAGTGAGAGGCCCAAGGACACTCGTCTTCAGCCCCAATCACCAGAGCACAAGCGACAACTGGTCTCTTCTCATGGCTCAGAATCAAGAACAAGGAACAGAACAAGGTCAAGTTCTGAGAGAAGGGAACATGGGCATTCTGACAGGGCCTCCGTTGAGGATCACTCTAGTAGGAAGCAGATGCGCGATTCCTCTCCAAAGTATGACGATAAACAGAGCAGCCGGAGGTCGAGATATGGTTCCAGGAGTATCACCCGTGAGGAGGATGCAAGCGACGATGAACGTAATTTCAAGAGGAGATGGGGTCGAAGATCATCAGGAGGCATGGACACAAGGCACTGAATGGAAGAATCTGGACTAAGGCGGAACATGTGCAGCAATACATTGCTGGTCACCAGTGCTCACCTATGGATTTTCTATTACTCGTAATTGTATGCATGCCCCTGAAAGCAGAGGAAAGCTTGTCAGAAAGCAGAGGGAAATTTCCGGTTCCCTGGCAAAATGTATTGATATTAGCAATTTGTACTAATGATGAGAGCATTGCCAGCTCTCTCTGTGATGCATTCTCTGCAAATATAAATAGAATTTCAATAAGTTTCCAAGTGTTTTTTTATTTACGTATTTGGTCTCCCTTTTAGTGTCTGTTTAGTTTCCAAAATTTTGCAAATTTTTTTAAGATTTCCTGTCACATCTAATTTTTGGACGCATGCATAAAGCATTAAATATAAATAAAAAATAAAACTAATTACATAGTTTAGACAAAATTCACGAGATGAATCTTTTAAGTCTAATTAAACTATGATTGAACACTAATTATCAAATAACAACGAAAATATTACCGTACCATTTCTTAAAAAAATTCGCCAACTAAATAAGGCCCTACCCTACGAGAACCGTTTTACTGTTGATAATATATAGCAAGGATTTCACTCATGTCGTACTTTATGTGTCCCTTATATAAGAATTTGATTGTGCAAGACGCGAATTAATAATATGACGTCTTCGAATTTAAACCCACTTTTCTGACATAGAATCTGTACTTAATATTAAAAACTAGAGAGATGGATTTTTCTGTCGTCTTTTTTACTTCTTGTCACAATGTCCTTGCAGATCCCTGCTATCCCATATATGACCTTCATAGACCATGCTTATACGAATTAAAGTTTGATTCCAAAATGCATCGTGGTTTGATTTCAATATTGGAAAATAGGATGATTGTTAAATAAATTTTCGAACCACAAATCAACAACGATTAGTAATCCGCAACAAGTTGTGCGTGCCATTGTAATTTACGAACATATTTGCTACAGTTATGATTAATAATAAACAAACACAAACAAAAGTCACTTGAATCGTCCGACGCAAATGCTACCCTAGCACATGTCCAATTCTAGATGAGCAGACGTTCTCTCTGAGCAAATGAAGTTTGAATGCTTCTTTCCTTGCCATTTTCGTCTCAATGTTTCAGTTCCAGAATTGAAGCATCATTAACCACTGAAAGTGGAGATAATTCACAGTATGCTACTAAATGTCGGGAAATGCTCGATTCGGACACAAGAAATTTGCCAAAGGGGCATATCACAATATCTATTCTCGATAAAAGCTAGTGTTACTAGAAATTTGACAAAAATTGTGTTTCAGGGGTTACTTAAAAAGGTTCACATGATAAATTATCTATAAATTAAATAAAACACTATATTAAAAAGTTAAGATTAGAAGTTATATCTTGTAAAACATTAAGCATAAAAGCTGCAAGTGGGCCTGTTTGGCTGATATTAAAGCCGGCTGAAGCTGATTTGTTGTGAGAGAAAAATACTGTAGATTCTAGCTGATAAGCCGGTTGATAAGTTCAAGTGAACAAGCCCTAACTGTCTAAAAATAAAAAAGTGAAAATATTTTCTTTCTAAATAAAGAAAGTCTGGATTATCCAATTTGTCGGCTGAATTTTGCTATAAAACAATCGTAGACATCTATCATTGATTACGAGTTTAGGTCATATTTTCATAGGCGTACATTTAACATGGGGGTTGTTACTTAAATTTAAAATTAATAATTAAAAAAATTATAACCTTTCTGAATGCATACGCATAAACATGGCAAGCCCGGACGTCCGGCGTTTAGATGTCCGCACCTGTATTTTGTTTCCCACGCTGTTTCACGAGTCAACGCGGGGCCCGCGCCGCCCCGAACATCACTAGTATTGAGAAGAGGGGGAGGGGGCGGCGGATGCCCAGCCAGTGCCAGGAGGAGGAGGAGACACCGGGGCGAGGCAGCAGAAAGCGATGAGAGAGATGCAACACCTGATCTACTTTTGCAACATCCAGATACAACACTTGTAACATATGTCTAAAGGCAAATGAAATACTTGAAACATGCATCTGAAACACTTACAAAACACACATGAAAAATACTTGAAAACCATTGTAAAACATACGCAATATCCAGATAAAACACTTGCAACATATGTGTGAAACATATGCAACATCTAAATAAACACACTCATACGTCTAGAAAACAGATGAAATATTTGGAACAGACGTTTGCAACATACGTATACACCATTGCAACATGTGCAACATCCCGATCAAATTTTGCAACATCTACATGAAACACTTGCAACATATCTCTGAAACACTTGAAACATACGCTGAAACATTTTAGGCGTGACGGCGACCACCATGTCTAGCGAGCCTTGAGGCGGTCGCGAAGTACGGCACGACCACGACACCCTTGCCGTCTCTAGCCGCAGGAAGAGGTGATGAGGACGCCGCTGGTGCTGGCACCGGCGATGAGGCGACAAATGTGTAGGAGAAGGACCTTGTACTGGTACCCGAAGCGGAAGCCATCCGAGGATGTGAGCAACACTACCGGCTTGGGGAGAAGCCGCATGGCAGCGGACGTCGTGGTAACAACGATGAGGGGTGGGTGAAGCAAGACGAAGGCCCCACAATGAGGAGGAGCATGAGGTAGGGGACGAATGAGGGCTAGGCGTCCACGGAGGAGTAGAGGAGAGGAGAGCGGCCGTAGGCCGCGGCGAGTCGCCGGGGTACGGACCTCGACTAGGTGGGGGCGGAGACACCATCGGCGGGTGATATTTTGAGTGCTGGATTTGGGGAGAGTGAGAGTAGACTAGATCTGACAGAAGCAGAACATACATGCGACTAGCGGTTGACGGAGTGAGATTTTTTTGCAGACAACGTCTGGACGAACGAACGCCCGCACCGTAACATTACCGAAACACGTGTCCCGAATCCAGGGAAAGCAGCTCCTTCACACATCTGTCCCACTTTTTTTTCCCCTGAATTGTGATCCGGGCCTTCTTTAGATTGCAAATTTTTGCAAGCTGGACACTGTAGCACGTTTTGTTTGTATTTGACAAACTTTGTCCGATCATGGACTAACTAGGCTCAAAAGATTCGTCTCGTGATTTATAACCAAACTGTATAATTAGTTACTTTTTTTATCTATATTTAATGCTCCATGCATACGTCTAAAAGAAAGTGAAAAAACTTGAAACTTTGATGTAATCTAAACGAGGCCCCGGGGAGGAGCCAACTGATCACACGTGTGAAGCCCGCTGTCGCTGGCCTGGCCTCAAGCCAGACTGCAAGAGTCAAAGACGGCATCACCACACTCTCAAGTCTTCAACACTACGAGACGCCTCGCCGGCCGCGCCGCCCCCAACTCCTCGTCCTCTGATAGTGATCCTCTTCTTGCCCCCACCCTCTCCTCTCCTCCGATGGCGACGCTGCAGCTCAACCACATCGCGCGGGAGACCTCCGACGTGGCCCGCCTCGCCGCCTTCTACGAGGCCGTGCTGGGGTTCGAGCGCATCCCTTCGCCCACCTACTCGGGCTTCCAGGTCGCCTGGCTCCGCCTCCCGAGCTCCCCCGACGTCGCGCTCCACCTCATCGAGCGGGACCCCGCCGCGGCACCCGTCGCGGTGGGGCCTGGCGCCGAGGGCGCGCCGCAGTCGCAGCTGCCCCGGCGCCACCACCTCGCCTTCTCCGTCGCCGACTACGACGGGTTCGTGACCGGGCTGAAGGCGCGCGGCACCGAGGTGTTCGAGAAGACGCAGCCAGACGGGCGCACGCGCCAGGTCTTCTTCTTCGACCCCGACGGTGAGAGAATAGAGACGCCCTACTCGTTTCATTCATCTCAATTTTTACTGTTTTTGTGGTGATCAATCGAGGTTCCCCGCTTTTGTGTTGATTTTTGTCATCGTCAAATTGATGAAAAATATATCTGGTTCATGCTTGTTGCAATTGGCTAGAGAATTGTAGCTGTTCAAGAGTCCACAACTTGGAAGTTCTGAAGTTCTGCTAAATTTATGGTTACGTGCAAGTCTTATGACCTGTTTGTTTGGGCTTTCGGAAAGCTTTTGGACCTTTCAAAAGCCAAAAAGCTCCCGAAAGCCAAAAACGCAAAAGCTCAGGCTATGGAAGCGGTTGGGCTTTTGGACAGTCTAAAAGGCAGTAGTCTGAAAATGGCCAAAAGGAAAGCTCAAACAAACAGGGCCTTAAACCTTCGTTGAACTGAGTACAGACTAGTAGCTACAGAAGTTCAATACTAGTATATTCTGTTGAGTTAGACACAGGCTGCTCCTACAAAAGCTGTACAAAAGAAATCCTATGACCTGTTGCTTCTGAGGGCGTGTTTGGATGAGGGGATTGCTCAAGGAATATCCGAATATTAGGATCTAGCTCAGCTTCGGCCTCATTCTTTAAGGATTTGGACTAGTCCCTGCTACCCAGTTGGCTCTATTGTCTGTGACAGCATAATGGTATGCAAGTGTCATGTTCTTTCCATTGTTAGTTCCATGTTTACTAACATGTAACATGATATGAAATCTTCTCAGTAATTGCAGCATTATTTATTAGAATGGGTACATCAGTTCATGACTTTTTATTAATTGCAACATCTAAAATTTTCAGTCGTTGTTTCTTCAATTCATTCACTAATAAGTAGTATTATCAGTACTTACATTGGCGCATCAGTTCATGACATTTTATTAATTGCAACCTCTGAATTTTTGTTTCTTCAATTCATTCACTAATAAGTAGTGTAAAACTAGTAACTATTAAGTACGGAAATTTGACCTAGTTGGTTCCAGTGCAGTCGGCTTGCCTTGATCTCAGTCCATGAGTTGTGCTATCTGTATACCTTGTCTATTATGATGTTCTTCTGAATATCTGCAGAAGTTTTAGGAATGTGCATGTTGTATGGCCTCCTTACAGAATAAGTATTTGGTGCTAACTTAGGCTTTTTAAGTCATGTTAGTTTTGTTTTTTACCTAGGACTTCGGCTAGAGCTATGCATTTTGTTTTTCTTTTGGACTTTTGGCTAGGGCTATGCATTTTCTTTGAGCAACCTATGCAGAGAGCAGAGTAGAAGGGTGAATTTGCTATTGGCAACCAGAGAATATCCTTAACTAAACTATGCAGTGCGTGCATGATTATGATCAAATCTATCAAGGTGTCCTGTGTACTTTCTGATCCACTTGTTTTCGACATACTTGCGTAAGTGCTGCTAACTAGGTTCTCTTAAAAGTAGCACACATGTTTGGAAACAGGATTCTAATTTCTAAATAGTATACACTTTGTTACCTGCCTTCCTGGTTCCAGTTCCACATTAGTAGTGACTCTATTTGTAACACTTTCTGATTTATGGCTTGTAGGATAAATAAATGGTGAATTAGCCATTTGGTTACCTTTTCTTGTTTCGCACACAAGCACACCTACAACTCTGTTATTTGGTTCTGTTGCAGGCAATGGCCTAGAGGTTACTAGCGCTGGTGCAGGCAATGATAAGTGAACAGAGACCATGATTTGCAGTGTCCTTCTGTTTTATCGTGTAAGCTCATGTTTCTATGTCATATTTTGTATCTTAGGCCTTGTTTAGATGCCATCCAAATTCGAAGTTTTTTCACTCTCTCTCCATCACATCAATTTTTAGCCGCTTACATGGAGTATTAAATGTAGGTAAAAAAAAAACTAATTACACAGTTTAGTTGAAAATCACGAGATGAATCTTTTGAGCCTAGTTGGTCTACGATTGGATAATATTTGTCAAATAAGACGAAAGTGGTACTATTCATCGGGTTGAAAAAATTTGCAAAGAGAACAAGGCCTTATGCTCCTTGGTTTGGTGCTGGCACCCATTGGAAACTGAGGAGGCAGTTGATGTGCTATAGTATCGCATTTGTTTCTGCTTTCTGTTCCTTTCTGGTTCTTGTATGAGTGCTGAATTGCCGATACGATTCATCTTGTTTTATGTGGATTGGTTGCAGGCAATACCTCGGCAATCACTGCCTGCAAAATGCGATGGAAACCGGATATGTTCCGTAAAATAAATAAATCCGAAGCTCATCAAAGCTCTGCTCACACTGTTGTTTGGTTGAGACAAGGGCCTGCGTTCTTGCTGCATCTCATCCAAGATGATTGTAATAATCCTAACAATGTCTAGTTAATAAAGATCTCGCTTTGCCCTCAGAATGTTGTAAGATGTAAAATCGCTCTGCACGTGATTGGATTTCCTGCATGACAATTGGCAAATGAAGTCTGAATACTTTCCTTGTCATTCTCGTCTCAGTGTTTCAGTTTCAGAACTGAAGCATCATTAGCCACTGAAAGTGGAGATAATTCGCAGTATGCTACCAAATGTTGGGAAATGCTCGATTCTGACACAAGAAATTTGGCAATGAGGCATACCACAATATCTATTCTCAAGAAAAGCTCTGTCACCAGTACTACTAATCAACAAGAGCGGCGTGTACATGTCGGAGCGCGGGTAGGCGGCGCAGAGCAGCGCGTACCCCTGCGCGACGACGTCGTCGCTGAGCATGCCGTCGCTCTGGTCCACCACCCCGGGACCAGCCGCGCCGGGCACGTCATGCACACGCCGAGCTTGCAGTCGTGCGGCACGTCCAGGCCCTCGTCCAGCGCGCGGGACAGGATCGTCTCGTCCTTCTCCACCTCCACCACCCGCGACTCGCCGCCGTGCTCGATCGTCACCTTGTACGCCCGCGGCGGCTGCGCGGTGGCGATGCGCAGCTGAGAGGTGGGGAGCCGGACGCTGAGGTGAGTGGAGCGAGTTGGGGTCGGGGTCGCGAGGTGGAGCAGCGATGCTGAAGCAGCGGCCATGGTGTGCGCCGTGCGCGTGCGCCGGAGGGTGTGACTGGGAGTGTGGGGGCGGTTCGTGGCTGAGGATAAGGCTGTCTTCCCGTTTTTAATTTCTTGTTTTTTTTTCCTTTTTTTTCTTGTAATACCACGAGCCATCGAATTGCGCTGCCTTGAGTGTACTCTAGGTTACCGATCGTAAAATCCATACGAGTACCTGAAAATATACTAGTAAAAGTTTACCAAATTGCTCGCTAATGTATAGGGGCATACAATACAACTGTCACAACACTCGATCTCATAAAAAGCCAGAGCTGAAAAAATGCAGAATTTTAGCTTGGATCCTCATTGAAAAAAAAGGATCCTAACTGCATATAACTTAGAGCATCTCCGATAGTTTTCAGCATCCACTCCCAATCTTGTTATTTTTATAAGATGAAAAAGTGCTTTCCAGCAACTCTTATCGTAGATCATCTCCAATAGTTCTAAAAAAAACTAATTGATAAATCAATGATTTTTCAAGTGGCTAAAAAAAAAGTTAAGAGCATATTATTGGGTTTCTCCAACAGTTTCTAAAATCTCGCTCCTAAAATATAAAATATAATTTTGCATGCAAAATCCCAAATTATTTTGAAATTACCCAAAACTACTTTTATACTTTCTTCCTCTCTTCTACATTTGTATTGGGAACCCTGTCCTAACCCTTTTTTCCCCACATCCTTTCACCTCCAGATTGACCAATCGATACGCGCAATTGGATCGATTTTCCTAAGTGCAGATAGATAAGGAGTTGTTGGAGAGTAGTTTTTTTTTTCAATCTTGCCAAAAAATCAGGATTGGAAGTGGGTTTTGGAAACCATTGGAGATGCTCTCAACTTGCAATCTTTGCGCACTTGGGAAAAACGACCCAACTGTGCGGAAACTATTTGTTAATTATATTGATTAACTAATTAATTTGGGGTGTATTGTGACTTGTGAGAACCAACTAGTATGTTGGGTTTGGGTAGGTCAGAAAAACTACACCAATAACAAGAGCAAAAAGAGGGGGGGGGCTAATAAGAAGACTAATTCTATATCATGTAGATACCATGAAAATTAATATGAAGAGAACAAACAAATAAATCACTAATTCGTTAAGTTGCTAGTTAGGGGTGTACTATTATGGGGGGATTTAGGACGTTGGAAACCAGGCCCCTTCCCTCCACCACTGGTCACACTTGTCTCATGAACCAAACATGTGCCTAAGAACCAGTGACATGCCTAGTGTGTTGTGTAGTAAAAATTGCCAAAGCAACCAAATATGGATGACCCTTAGCTTATTGTCAGCAGCCAGTATTATCAGTTCCTTCGATATATCTACCTTATCTTATACATGCGAGTGTAAGTAGTTGATTCAGGTGATGGAAGCAGTCAATCTAAGCTTAAATTCTAAACTTGGCATATATGCTTGTGTTTTCCTATACTTTTTTTTTATCATGGAAGTATTCTCCATTTGGCGTCGTTTTATGTGTTTTCCTATACTTGTTCAAGAAAGAAACAATACTACCGTTTGTAGGTTAGGCGATATACATGTCAATAGTGAGATATAATGATTGTCAATTTCAAAATATAGGGCTTATAGTCTACCAAATGTGCCGGTAAAAGACTAGAGTAAAAGTCTTGTTCCAACGAAACAAAATACGCATTACAATGTTAGATGACAGTGTACACATTATGCTGATCGAGGATATATATAGTAGTATAGATACATGTGACACAAAATCATAATCATAAGTAAATATTTTTCAATATGAGTCTAGCTAGCAACCTAAATTATGTGTAAAAATATCATATATATTAACATAGAAATAGTTCGTCAAATTAAGCTTGTTTTTACAAAACGAAATACGTCTTATATTTTTGAAATGAAGCGGCAACTGGGGCACTGGGCAAGGGACTACCGACTATGGAGTAACTTGTACACTATATGCTACCGCCCCTGCAAGCTACAACTAGCAAATAACTAAGGTGTGCGAAGGAAAGACTCCAAGTACTGAGTGCATACAGATTACCAATTCGCTAGATAGGAAATGGGCATGGATTACTTATTAGCTGCTGTGTTGTTCGTGACGTTAGCGCTAGCAACCTTGCTGCTCGGCTTGGTTTTGAGATTCGGGATCGGCGAGCTCTGCGATCCAAGGCTACCGCCGGGTTGGAGGGGCTTGCCGCTCGTCGGAGAGACGCTCGAGTTCTTCACCGCGTCCCCGACCCTCGAGCTGTTGCCCTTCTTCAAGCGACGGTTGGAGAGGTAATAATGTAATCTAGCCACTTTCATAGTAAAGAATTTCACATCTGAAATACAAAAATTTCGTTATGGAACTCTTGGCTACCAAGCACTACTAGTACACTCCAATTTCTGTCTCTTGCACGTGGATCCTGCAGATACGGGCCGATCTTTCGGACGAGCCTTGTCGGTGAGGACCTGATCGTGTCGCTCGACCCGGAGTTGAGCACGCGCGTGCTGCAGGAAGAGGAGCGCGCCTTCCAGATATGGTACCCGCCGTCCTTCATGCGCGTCCTGGGCGCCGACAGCATCATCACCGCTCTGGGTCCTCTCCACCGCCACATCAGGGCGCTCGTGCTCCGCCTTTTCGGCCCCGAGAGCCTCCGTCTGGTCCTGCTATGTGACGTGCAGCGGAGCGCGCGCGCCGAGCTGCGGTCCTGGCTCCGGCTGCCCGGCGTCGAGGTCAGAGCGGCCACCTCCAGGGTATGCATGTATCTCTGTCGACGATGACACTTCTGACAGTTTCTTCATGCTTACCACGTACTACCTATCCGGCATCCGCAGATGATATTTGGCGTGACGGCGAAGAAGCTGATCAGCCACGACGACACGGCCTCGGAAGAGAGCCTGTGGAAGTGCTTCGACGCGTGCACCAGGGGGCTGCTGGCGTTCCCGCTCTGCGTTCCCGGCACAGCCTTCTACAGATGCATGCAGGCAAACTAATAATCATCTATCTATTATTTGTTTGGTAGATGACTATCTGCCTGGCCTTTGATCAGTGACAGTTTTCAAATTGTTTGATTCATCTCTTCAGGGACGCAAGAGGGTCATGAAGATGCTGAAGGAGCAGCTCGGTGCACGCAGGAACGAGCCGGAGCGCGAGGCGGTAGATTTCTTCGATCTTGTGATCCACGAGCTGGACAAGCCAGACACTGAACTGAACGAGAACACCGCGCTGGACTTGCTGTTTCTGATGCTCTTTGCTAGCCACGAGACCACGTCGATTGGACTGATCGCGATTCTCAAGTTTCTGACAGATGACCCCAAAGCATTGCAGGAACTAACGGTAAGCAAATTGTTTGGTCCAGACTCCAGACCACAAATTGAAACCGTTGCCGTTGCATTGATTTTTTTTATGCGGTGTTTTTAGGAAGAGCATGAGAATGTCCAGAAAAGAGGGGCAGATCCAGACTCTGATGAAATCACCTGGGAGGAGTACAAATCTATGAAATTCACATCTCATGTATGGCCATAACTGTCAGAGATCGATGTTCTCCGTAAATTAGAAATTTGAACTGGTTCTTGGTTCTACACAGTGAATTTTTCCTGTGCATTGATCTCTTTCTACATCACATATATTAGGTTATACACGAAGCCCTTAGGCTGGCAAATATTGCTCCTGTAGTGTTTAGAAAAACAATACAGGATGTACAGGTATGCATCTTCCTCTTTTTGACCATGTGTGCAGTCAGAAAAATATCCAGCTATATGTTGGCGTAATCACTGGTGGTTGGAGCTGTCAACTGAAGCTGGAGAAGAAGCAAGAAACGCTGATTCAAAAGGAGTGCAGTTGGAGGCGACCAGCAGCTGGTGACCGTGCTCAGGGAATGTGGGCGACATCGTGCGCGGACAGCAGTGACGGTTGTATCTTGTTTTAGGCGTCGAGTCTGAGGGCATGTGTTAGCTAGTTAAGCTTGTGTATTACCCTCTGGGATGTACGCTGTGTCATTGTAACCTCAACTACTCTGTGTTCCCATATCTGAGTAAAAATAGCTCTGTCCTCCGCGTTCTGGGGTTCAGGGTCACATATCATGTGTTCTTGTGTGTGTTGTTCATCTAGCCATTGTGATATTTGGTGATTGTGATCGATCTGTGACTAACATCTGGTACTAGAGCCGAATCACAAGCCAAAGCATTGCGTTCGTTGCGTTGTGTCTTCTAGGATGGGTGATCGGAGTGCGGGAAGCGGAGGTGCAGGCGGCGGCGGTGTTGGAGGTCACGGGCAGTACGCCTATCCACAACTGACAGCCACCAACTACACAAGTTGGAGCATCTGAGTCCAAGCAATCATGGAAGATCAAGGCGTTTGGGAGGTGGTGGAACCGCCGGAGGGGGACGTCGGAGACGCAGACGACAGCTCAGTCCGGCAAGGACAAGAAGGTGCGGGCGCACCTGTTGCAGTGCCTGCCGGATGATCTGCTGATGCAGGTGGCGAAGAAGAAGACAGGCAAGGAAGTTTGGGACTGCCTGAAGTCGAGATTTGTTGGTGCCGAGTGTGTCAAGGAGGCACGGTTGCAGACGCTCAAGAGCGAATTCGATGCCATGAAGATGAAGGAGGAAGAGATGCTTGATCAGTATGCTGGCAAGCTGATGGGGATGTCAGTGAGATACAACAACTTGGGCGGCACGTTGGATGACGTGGCCATGGTGAAGAAATTGTTCGACACCGTGCCGGAGAGGTTCATCAACGTTGTTGCTAGGATTGAGCAGTTCTATGATCTCAAGACCTTGGCGTTAGAAGAGGCGGTTGGGCATTTGAAGGTGTATGAAGAGAGAACTCGGCGAGGAGCCGTGAACTTGAAGACTGAAGGTGGGCAGTTACTCCTCACTTAGTTAGAGTGGGAGGCGAAGCAGAAGAAGGTTGGAGGTGACTCGTTGGGGAGGAGCAAGTCATCTGAGGCTGGGTGTGGTAGAGGTTGTGGCCGGGGAAGAGGCCAAGGCGGACGCGGTGATGGGCAAGGCAAGGAGAACGCTGGAGGTGGCAAGAAAGATAAAAGCCACATTCAGTGTTTCAAATGCAAGAAGTATGGCCATTATGCCAATCGTTGCCCAGGAGAGAAGAAAGAGGAGGAGGCGCATCACACTCGTGCGGAGATGGAGCCAGCGTTGATGTTCGTCGTTGCCGAGGAGGAGATTGAGTCGGAGTCTAGGAGGCCAACTCGGGAGATTCAGAGCACGCGACAGAGAGCCATGTTTCTGAAGGAGGAGAAGGTGACGCCGGAGTTGCATTTGACCAGAGGCGGGGAGGTCACCGGAGGCAACTGGTACCTAGACAATGGCGCTAGCAACCATATGACCGGTGATCGCAGCAAGTTCCTAGAGCTGGATGAGGGGGTCACTGAGAAGGTGAAGTTTGGAGATGGCTTGGCGGTGCAGATCGAAGGGAAGGGTTCAATCCTCTTCAACTATAGAGATGGTGGTCAGTGGCTGCTCCGAGACGTTTACTTCATCCCTAGGCTCAAGAGCAATCTGGTGAGTCTCGGGCAGCTCACTGAAATCGGCTGCAAGGTGGTGATGGATGATGGAGAGCTTGAGGTGTTCGAGAAAAATCCTCTGAGGTTGCTGATGAAGGTGGAGAGGACAACTAACAGGCTGTATCGTGTTGATCTGAAGCCTGTGGAGTTAGAGTGTCTGATGGGGAGCATAGAGGAGCCGGCGTGGTTGTGGCATGGTCGACTCGGGTATGTGAACTTCAGAGCTCTGAAGATGGTAGGTGAGAAAGAAATGGCGGGTGGAGTGTCGCTGATCAGCAATCCTGACCTGTGTCACCCGTGCCTAGCTGGCTAGCAGGCACGCACACCGTTCCCATTGGCGACGAGCTACAGGGTGGAGAAGCCACTGCAGCTTGTACATGTCGACCTATGTGGGTCGATATCTCCATCTACTGCAGCTGATAACAAATACTTCATACTCTTTGTTGATGATCATACTAGATGGATGTGTGTGCACATGCTGAAAAGTAAAGATCAAGTCACTGCTGCACTGGTGAAGTTTAAGGTAGAGGCAGAGAATTTTGTTGGGCAACAAATCAATATACTACGTTCTGATCGGGGGGTTCTTGTCAGCAGCTTTTGCAGGCATATGTGAAGCAGCTATGATCAAGAGGCACCTCACTGCACCATATTCACCACAACAAAATGGTGTAGTGGAACGAAGGAACAGAACGGTGGTTGAGATGGCCAGAACCATGATGAAGAGTATGAAAATTCTAGGGAGATATTGGGGAGAAGCAGTTAGGCATGCTGTCTATTTGTTGAATAGGCTGCCTACTAAAGCTATGGGGGAGAAGACTCCATATGAAGTGTGGAATGGGAGAAGACCACACTTAGGACACCTGAAAGTGTTTGGGTGTTTGGCTCACATGAAGATCACTGTTCCACATCTGAAAAAGCTTGATGACAGGAGTCAGAAAGTAGTTTATTTTGGAGTGGAAGAAGGCTCTAAGGCACATAGGTTGTATGATCCTCTGCAGAACAAGGTGTTGGTGAGCAGAGATGTCATATTTGAAGAAAATGTGCAATGGAGATGGGGTGAGGGAGATGTGGGTATGACTAATTTCCAAGTGGAAGAAGTTGTAGTTTCTGTTGACTTGGGTGTTCCTAGTGGAACAGGGGTGTTACCTACAGAAATAGGAGCAGAAGCAATGGAGAATTCAAATGTTGGAGCTGGAGGAGATCCAACAGATTCAACACAAGAGGGATCAGGTGTACATGCAGGTTACAACTCAGATGAAGACCCTGAAAGGTTCAGGAATTTGAATGATATTTATGAAAATATAGAAGAGGTTGAGCTAATATATGATTCTGATGAAGAGGCACGACTAGCTGAAATAGATGAGCCAACCAACTATGTTGAGGTAGCTGGAGACCCAGATTGGGTAGAAGCTATGGACAAAGAGATCCTGTCCATTGAGAAGAATGGGACATGGTACTTGTCCAAGTTACCAGCAGGGCACAAGGCAATTGGCATCAAGTGGGTTTTTAAGCTAAAAAAGAATGCTGATGGTGAAGTGGTGAAGCACAAGGCAAGATTAGTAGCCAAGGGTTATGTTCAGAAGCTTGGTGTGGACTATGAAGAAGTCTTTGCACCTATTGCCAGATTAGATACAGTGAAACTAATACTGGCAATGGCTACAAACAGAGGCTGGGAGGTTCACCACCTAGATGTCAAGTCTGCATTCTTGCATGGGGTTTTGGAGGAAAAAGTATATGTGCAGCAACCTGAAGGTTATATAGTGAAGGGAAAGGAGAATTGTGTACTCAAGTTGAATAAAGCCTTGTATGGACTCAAGCAAGCCCCAAGAGCTTGGAACATGAAACTTGATAGGAGTTTGAAGAAACTTGGCTTCAAGATATGTCTGGTGGAGCAAGCTGTGTACACAAGAGGAGCTAGTAAAGCAACTATACTCTTGGGTGTATATGTTGATGATCTCATTGTCACAGGAGATGATCCAATTGAGATCAACAATTTCAAACAACAGATGACTGGTGAGTTTGAAATGAGTGACCTTGGTCTTCTGTCTTACTATCTTGGAATTGAGGTAGAACAGAAGGAGTATCTGACCATCAAGCAAACTGCATATGCCAAGAAGGTGCTGTTTCAATTTGGTATGGGGGATTACAATGCAACAAAATATCCTATGGAACCTGGTTTGAAGCTGCATTCAGATAAACAAGGTGAGAAGACTGATGCAACAAACTACAGGAGAATGATAGGATGTTTGAGATATTTGTTACATACTAGACCAGATTTGGCATACTCAGTTGGAGTGGCTAGTAGGTTTATGGAGAAGCCTACGGTATTGCACTTGAAGGTTGTGAAGCAGATACTTAGGTACCTCAAAGGAACAACTGAACTTGGGTTGGTGTATACCCAAGAAGGGAAGCAGCAAATGCTCACTGGATATTCAGACAGTGATCTGGGTGCAGATGTGATTGGGAGGAGGAGTACTAGGGGCATGGATTTCTATCTGAATGATAGTCTGATCTCCTGGTGTTCACAGAAATAGAAGACAGTGGCTCTGTCCTCCTGTGAGTCTGAATTCATGGCTGCCACAACAGCAGCAAGGCAAGCATTATGGCTGAGGAATTTGTTGTCAGAGATAACAAGGCAGTGCAGAAGGTTGTGAGTTTGTATGTGGACAACAATTCAGCTATTGCACTTATGAAGAACCCAGTCTTTCATGGAAGAAGCAAGCACATTGATATTAAGTATCACTTTATTAGGGAATGTGTGGAGCGTGGGTAAATTGCATTGCGCAGAGTTTGTACTGATGTGCAGAAGGTAGATGCACTGACAAAGCCATTGCCGACGGTCAAGCTAGCAACCATGAGATATTTGATGGGTGTTCGAGATCTTAGCTCCCACCAGGATTAGGGGGGGGGGGAGATTGTTGGCGTAATCACTGGTGGTTGGAGCTGTCAACTGAAGCTGGAGAAGCGAGAAACGCTGATTCAAAAGGAGTGCAGTTGGAGGCGACCAACAGTTGGTGACCGCGCTCAAGGAACGTGGGCGACGTTGTGGCGGACAACAGCGATGGTTGTATCTTGTTTTAGGAGTTGAGTCTGAGGGCATGTGTTAGCTAGGTAATCTTGTGTATTACCCTCTGGGATGTACGCTATGTCATTGTAACCTGAACTACTCTGTGTTCCCATATCTGAGTAAAAATAGCTCTGTCCTCTGCGTTCTGGGGTTCAGGGTCACATATCCTGTGTTCTTGTGTGTGTTCTTCATCTAGCCATTGTGATATTTGGTGATTGTGATTGATCTGTGACTAACACTATACACTTAATAACGCAGCATGTTATTTCTCAGAAGTGATCCATGTTTTAGCCTGTCCATTTATGTATTGTGCTTACTTTGAACTTCTATGTGCAGATTATACCATACCACAAGGATCAAAGGTTATGATCTGTTCATCTGCAGCTCACCTGAATCCGAAGGTTTACGAGAACCCTTCAGTGTTCAACCCATGGAGATGGAAGGTATGTTGAGTGCAGAATTTCTTGTTGATTACAATATCAAACTCACATGTATGTTTGCGGGGTATTCTCGAACCAGTTAGGCGGCTCCAAGGATTTCATGGCCTTTGGAGGTGGTCTGCGGCTATGCGTTGGTGCTTGACTTTACCAAGCGCAAATGGCTATCTTCCTCCACTGTTTAGTCATCAAATGCAATTACCATGTCTGTATTTAAGGACCATCTAGAATCAGTTGTTTGTCTACTAGTTAATTTTTAATTGACTAAAAATTAGATGACTAAAGTTTGGCCCTGTATTGCTTGCATCCATAATTAGTAGATATTATTAGTCCACTTTAGCTTCCTTTTGACAACTGGTGAACTAGTTTGTTAGTTAAAGTATGGACTAAATTCAGTATTGTGTACCATTCCCGAATGGTAGAGGTCAGACTTTATTCCTTATAAAAAAGTATGGACTACAAATTGGTTCACCTATATTTGTATGCTTTAGCACTAAACTTCAAATGATAATACCCAAATAGGCCATAAGAATATAGGAGTACTCTCTCTCCACGATCCGTCCTCGTGGTGCACACATATCAAGAGTCAAACCGATACCATTGAATTTGTAATTAAACATACCTTCCTATCATTGTAATTTTGTAGTTACAAATCAACACAACATAAGATAGTGTAACTTAGGATACCATGTCTTATAAACTAAGAGAGATTGAGTATGCTGTGGAAATTCAAACTGTACGGTGAGTTAATGTTATGTTTTCACGATAGATGGGAAGCGATCAGTGGAGGCACAATGATGTTCTACCCAGGACTACGATTTCCAAACGGTTTTCACATCAAGCTTCTTCCCAAGA